ACTTATGATTCTTATTTCCATTAATCATTGCATTCTACCTTATCCTGCCTTCTGGCATTACCTTTGGGAAAATGCTACTTTTTTTTTACCATTTATAGTTGGGGTTTTTTTTGTTTGTTTGTTTCTTTTTATTTCATTTTATTATTTTGTATATGTGTACCGTCAAATTGGATCTGACAGATACAGGAGGAAATTGTCCCTCCTTGTCCAGGAGAGCATCTGGTGGATTCAAACCGCGTACCTCTGGGATTGCAGTAGAGTTTCTTGCCACCAGGCCACCAGAGCTCCCTATATAGGTGGTTTTTTAAAGGAATGAGTTCCTCCCTGATGTTATTAATCAGTCTATAATTGCACTGTTAACCCAAAGCCATATAGTTTAAATCCACTAATTGCTCCACAGGAGAAAGATGGGCAGTCTCCTCCTCCCAGGTGATTTACTGCCTCTGAAAACTAGCTGTGAGTTGGTTTTTTTTTTCACACTTTCAAAACTTTATTTACATAAAAAATTCATTTGTTTTTAAAAGCATTAACAAGAGAGAAAGAAAAAGAAAGGGTATGGAGCAGAAGATAAGTCCCTTAGTAGTATTTGGTGGAAAGGTGGGATTTTTGGTTTTCTGGAATTGAATGTTTAGTGTTTTTATAAACAAAAATGGATAAGGAAAAATGTTAAATGTCCCCAAAAGCCCATGGGTGTAGATTACCCACACCCCACTGAGAAAAAGAACACCAAGGAAAAGAACAGAGGATGACGAGAGAAATGACAAGCAGAGCCAATCTGGGTGGGGTGATCTCCCCTATGCAGTGTGTTCTTATATGAGTTGGTTCTGACACAACAGTACATAACAGTAACAAGAGCTTGCCTGAACAGGGGTGAGTTCCAGATTGGGGGGGTAGCTAAGGACCATAGTCTCTGAGGGTGCCTCCAGTCTCCATTGCACTGGTAAGCCTGGCCATTTTTATGTTTTTGAACTTTGTTGCACATCCCACCGTCCTCACAATCTCTGACATACTCAAGTCCGTTGCTGCAGTCACCATGTCAACCCTAGTTGAAGGTCTTCCTCTTCTTTCCTGTCCCTGCACTTTCCCAAGCATGATGTCTCCAAGGAATAACCTCTCCTAACAATATGCCCAAAGTAGGTGAGATGAAGCTTCATCATTTTGGTCTTCAAGGAACACTCTGGCTGCACTTCTTCGAAGACAAACCTGTTTTTTCTCTTGGCAATCCATGGGATCGTCAGCTCTCTTCTCCAGCACCACAGTTTAAAGGCATCAGTTGCCCAGCTCTCAGATACGTAGCAAGTGTATCTAAAAAGGCCATGGCCTGAACCAGGTTCACCTTAGTCCTCAAAGTGGCACATTCCACTTTTGGCTCTTTATCTACTTGTTTATATCGTCTCCAGATGATTTCAAAAGGCAACTCAGGAAGACAAAGCAAA